CCCATCAGTGCACGAGCCCCCCGGACGGAGTCTGGCTGGGTGTGGGGCTGGGAACGGGACACCGAGCCGGGCCCCTCACCTGCTACCGCCAGCTGCAAGGAGTCGCTGGGCTGCGAGGAGACGAAGGGCTGTGATTGGGGCCGGTAGCTGCAGCTGTAGTTCCCTCCGTGCTGCCGGCCCACGGTGGGGATGCGGAACTCGGTCCCGTTCCCAGCAGGGTCCATGTGTCGCTGCGGGTTCAGGTCTCCAGCCTTGTGCAGGAAGAACGTCACATACCGGCGCTGCCCCTGACACCGGATGGTGACGTCTGCCCCTGGGGCGGTGACCCCAGTGGGGCTCAGAGAGATGGAGGGTCTGGGTAAGCTGCGATCTGTGCACAGGAGACAGGCTGTGAGAGCCAGACACAGGCACCCACCCAGCCCCAGCCTCCCCGACCGCCCCAGCTATGGGCAGATCCTGGGGGCGCCAGGCAGATTCTCTCCCAGATCCCAGAGTTCCCCCTGACCCAGAAACCTGACCCTGCGAGCTGGACTCCCAGCCCCACAGACACCGAGCTGCGGCTCCCTAGTGCTTGGGCTGCTCATATGCCCGTGTGTGGCCCCTGCCTCCTTCCCGGGGTCCAGCCTGCCCTGGGGGCACGTGGGCATAGCCAGGCTAACTGCAGCAGCACAGGCTGGCCGGCTGAGGACAAGTCTCCCAGGGCGCTGGGTGCACACGCGAGCGACTAGTCCTGCCCGGCCACGGCTCCATTGCTATTTTCAGCTCCATCAGAGCTAGCCCGGGTGCCGCACGCCAGCCCCCAGCTCCAGGGCAGACACCCAACAGCCCACAGCTCTGGGGTGACCCCGGGGTGACGGCTCCCTGCCTCCGGCCCGGCCACCATCAGGGTCAGGCTCGTCTGGGCAGGGGACAGAACTTCCTCCGGGGCCGGGCCCAGGCTGCAGAACGAGCTCCCCCAGCAGCCAACGGCCCCGCAAACCTCCCGACCCCTTGCTCCAAGGCCAGCGCCCTGCCCCGACCGGCCTGCTCCAGCCTGCTCCGTCAGGGCAGCATGGCCATTGACCCCCCAAACCGCCCCAGACCAGACCCTCTGTGGTGGACACAGACCTCCCCCGGGGAGAGGACGAGAGACAACGACCCGCCCGTGACAGACGGGGCCACGTTGCTTAATGCTCGACTGGCAGGCGCCCGACACCGCGGTGACCAGGGCAGCGTCAGACCATGTTCAGGGTAGAAGGCTGATCCCCCCTGGCTGGGACCCCCCAGTGACTCCGTCCCCACTGCCCGGCCGGGCGTCCCCTCTGCTGGGCCCAGGGCTCAGGGCAAAGCCTGGCTCTGAGTGGCCCATCGTTGCGGAGCCCCCACGAGTGTCAGCTGGGCCTGGGGCTAGGAACAGAGACACTGAGCCGGGCCCCTCACCTGCTACCACCACCTCCACGGGGTCGCTGGGCTCCGACTAGGTGTTGGGATCCGAGCCGGGGGATAATAGCAGGTGTAGCTGCCTCCATCTGCCCGGCTCAATTTGGGGATGGGAAATTTGACCCCAGCCGACTCCCCGCCCGGCGCTGCTGCGTTCCTGCCCCAGCCTTGTACAGAACAAACTCCAGACCCCGGCGCTGACCCCGACACCAGACGATCGCGGCTCCCCGCAAGGCGACCCCCCCCCGCTGGGGCTGAGGGAGATGGAGGGTTTGGGGGAGCTGAGCTCTGCAGTGGGAGGGAGATGGGCGTGAGAGAGACCCCAGCATGGCCACTGCGCCCCGTCCCCAGCATGGAGTGTCAGCAACAGGGCACAAACAGGGTCAGGGTCTCCCCTGAGATCCAGGGCACCAAGGCACCAGCCCAAGATCTCCCCCACACACCCAACCTTCACTGGCTGGGTGTGGGGCTGGGAGCCGAGGTGCCGGGCTGGGTCCCTCACCTGCCACAATGATCTGCACAGGGTCGCTGTACTCCGAATAGGCAGCTCCTCCTGTTCTGTTGCTATAACGACAGGTGTAGCTGCCACCGTGTTCCGGTCTGGCGCTGGTGATGGGAAATTCAGCCTCAGAGCCAGCAGGGTCTGTGTAAGTCAGATAGTTCCCATCTCCAGCCTTGTAGAGGAGGAACCTCATGCCCAGGCGCTGATGCCAACACCGGATGGTGACGTTTCCCCCCACAGGGATCACCCCACCGGGGCTGACGGAGATGGAGGGTTTGGGGTAGGACCCCTCTGGATGCACAAACAGGCAGTAAGTGGGGGTCTGATTCAATCATCTGCCCATCTGTCGCTCCAGCATTTTACCCCCCGCCGTCCCTGGGGAGACGCAGCAGGGTGGAAAGGAGATTTCCAGTCTCTGTTTCCTTTAGTTATGCAGGGTCAATTCAGCCCT